TTTACTATATTTGTCAATCTGTCCATTTCAGCACATTCCATAATCTTCGTTGTCAACTCATTAAGCAGCTTAGGAGGTTAGGAGTTTGGGAGTGCTCCTGGAACCCACCTTAACGATGGAGGCCCAGGTGGCAGCCACTGCCAGATCGGCCTTTTATCATCTTCGGCTGGTATGGCAGTTGGTTCCTTTCCTCGACCGCGATGACCTACCTACAGTGATCCATGCGACGGTCACCTCGAGGCTAGACTACTGTAACGCTCTCTACATGGGGCTGCCTCTGTTGCAAATCCGGAAGCCGCAGCTGTTGTAGAATGCTGCGGCCAGGCTGTTGGTGGGCGCCCCTAGGTGGGAGCACACCCGACCTGTACTGAAAGCACTGCACTGGCTGCCTATAGCATACCGGATTCACTTCAAAGTGCTGGTGCTTACCTTTAAAGCCCTACATGGCCAGGGGCCGACATACCCGAGGGACCGCATTTTCCCATATATTCCCCAAAGAGCACTTCGGTCGGGGTCACAACACCGCTTGGTGACCCCGGGCCCCAAGGGGGCCAGGCTTGCGGCAATGAGGGCCAGGTCCTTTTCAGTGGCAGCTCCTATCTGGTGGAATGAGCTCCCAGAGGAGATCAGGGCCCTGCGGGACCTTGTGCAGTTCCGCAGGGCCTGTAAGACGGAGCTCTTCCACCAGGCTTTTGAGTAGGAGCCGCCACTGCCACTACCACCACCGCTCCACTACAGAGCGATACTGCCGGAGGGCCGGGTAATATCTGTTTGCGGCCCTAGCCCTCCCCTCCTGTTATACAACATGTCAGGAGTTTTCTATTTGTGCATCTGATGGAACTTAATTTTAATTGTTTTAGCTTTTATATATTGTATGCACTTTGTGCCTTATGTAAGCCACCCTGAGCCCGTTCGCAGGGAGGGCAGGGTATACATAAAATTAAATAAATAAATAAATAAATTGGAATTTTCAATGTCCTCCATGTTGTTGCAAATAAGATTCTAGCTTTTGTTATAACATGTAAAATAAAGTATCTATGGTTCTTGTCTAAGTCATCTGGTAAACAGTTTAACAGAAATATTTCTAGTTTAAAAGCTATTGTAATATTCAACACTGATGCCCAATATTTAGCACCATTCCCAAACTACAGTTTCCAGGATTCTTTGCAGGAAGCCTTGGGAGTTAAAGTGGTATGAAGACAGCATGAGTCTGTAGTGTAGACAAGCTCAACAAATCCCATTCTCTCCACATTTAACTAGAGGAAAAGAGTGCTAGTTTTGACTATTTGTAAAATAATATATGACCAAGATCAATTTAAAGTGTGGATTTTACCTGTTAAATCTGGATCCAGGATTCCATAACCTTTGCCTACTGACAGATGAACTTTTCCTAGGTCTTGCTTTGTGTTCTCAGTCCCTAAGCTACAGGAGATAGCTAGATGGGTTCAGGGCCTTTTCTACAGTGGCACAGAGACTGTGGAACCCCCTCCCTGAAGAGGTCTGCTGGACCCCTTCCGTGCTCTAGCTTTTACCTCTCAATCCAAGACATTCTTTTCCAGTTAACATTTGGGATGTCTCGAGGGTAGATGGGGGCCTGGAGATTTCCCAGAATCAAAACTGATCTCCAGAGATCAGCTCCCCTGGAGCAAATGTCCACTTTGAAAGGTGGACTATGTAGCATTATACCCTGCTGAGGTCCCGCCCCTCCCCAAAGCCCACCGTTCTAAGGCTCTACCCCCATATCTCCAGGAATTGCCCAACTCAGAGTTGTCAACCCTACTCAACTGTATTAACCTGTAACTGAGGGCCAAAATACATGTCACATTTCGTAACAAGACAGGTCTGTTCTGTTGATTCTGCTGCTATTACTTGTTTTTGGTTGCTTTATTTTTTATATGATACAAGTGGAAACCTGCAAGGAACTTGCGTGAAGAGGGCATTCCATTCCCCCTCCTTTGGCTTCCTTGTCTCTCCTCCCCAGCCCTTCTCTCTCAGTAAGTGTTTCTGTCTCTTTCTCCCTCCCTCACCCTTTCTCTGGCACACAGCCTCGGTCTTTCTCCCCTTTTCCACCTCTTTTCTAAGTCAGTTTGTCTCTCTTGCTCTTCCCCGCCCCCTCCCCCATACACAGTGTTTCTATCTTTCTCTGACTGTCGGAGATACTTACCAGGCAGACTATCGTCTCTGCCACTGTACCTGCCTGCCCGGTCATCCCCCTCTCCACTGATGTGGCTGTCCATCTGCATGCCCTCTCTGGCTCACATAATGCATCAGCAGCAGATGGAGGCTCCTGCTCTTCCTCACCCAACCCCTGAGGCAGCAGCATAGGCAATTCAGCAGGGCGTAGGGGGCTTGGCAGCAGATGTTCCCACTTATCCTCACCTACCCATCTGCCTCCAGTGGCTGCACCTTGGCATGGTATGGTGGTGGTGGTGGAGGAGGAGGCTTGTTTCTGCCCACCTGCCTCCAGGGCTTTTCTTCTGGGGGAACACGCTGGAACAGAGTTCTGAAACCTCTTCGATGAAATTCTTTTTTAAATGTTTAAAAGTTCATGAGTTTTCAGTAGACAGACTGAAAACTTCATTTCCCTCTTGAGAGTTCTGGCACCTCTTTTTCCAGAAAGAAAGCCCTGCCTGTCTCTTTTCAATACAATGAACACAGTGGACTCAGTGTCTGATGGAGAGGAGAGTCTTGCTGCTCTTCCTCTGGCAAGCACAGGAAACTGCTTTGTGGTTGAGTTTTAAGAATAACTTGTTTGTTTGTTTGTTTGGGGATTTCTCTGCGCACCTATGGGGTCACTCAAGTTTGGAGAAAAGCCTCCCTTCTCACAATGTGGCCCCAGGCTGCAGATCTAAGTATCCACAGATGGGCCCAGGTTGACTGTCAGATGTGCTGATGTTTTAATTTGTATTGTGGTTTGTATGAACTTGGTTAGGTGCCTTTTTATTTTAAATCACAGTTTTGGATATACAAATTTTAACAAGCAATAAAATAAGACATTGACGTTCTATGAACTCTTTTACAGCCAAGAATTCATGAAGCCATAAGTTTCTGTGGCTGCATCTCTAAATTCATGGAATGTGCTATGATACTTTTTCTAATATTATCACTTATTTTAGACAACTGATAAATCAATTGAATGTTACCGGTAATCATTTTAGGAAGCCAGCTAGTTGATGAATAAGCATCAACTGATGATATTAACAATTTTATTTATTTATTTTCACAGAAAATAGCATTTCATTTCCTAGGTAAAGGTGGACTATGTAGCATTCTACCCTGCTGAGGTCCCGCCCCTCCCTGACTGTCAGATGTGCTGATGTTTTAATTTGTATTGTGGTTTGTATGAACTTGGTTAGGTGCCTTTTTATTTTAAATCACAGTTTTGGATATACAAATTTTAACAAGCAATAAAATAAGACATTGACGTTCTATGAACTCTTTTACAGCCAAGAATTCATGAAGCCATAAGTTTCTGTGGCTGCATCTCTAAATTCATGGAATGTGCTATGATACTTTTTCTAATATTATCACTTATTTTAGACAACTGATAAATCAATTGAATGTTACCGGTAATCATTTTAGGAAGCCAGCTAGTTGATGAATAAGCATCAACTGATGATATTATTTATTTTCACAGAAACCTTAGTGGTAATTCCAAGCTAGAAAAATTGCCTAATGAAGTTTTCCAAGGAGCCCAAGGCCCAGTTTTCTTGTAAGTACCAATTCTCATTTGCTTTTTGTTCTTGCTACATTCTCAGTGTTCACATCAGACAAAAATGTTCCCACAGAGGTAATATGACAATTTTGTCAACTTTGGCAATGGTTGAATATTTTTAATGCAATTTTTCTTTCCACATGAAATTCTTGTTTCCAGATTTATGTATTTATGATGCCCCACTGTGCCTCTGAAGAGCTCAGAAATACTTATGGGGTCTTCCAGACAAATAATTCACTAAAATTGTTTACTTATTTATGGAAAAAAGGAGAACAATATAAGCCATTTTGTGTCCCCATTGGGGAAAAGCTGGGGTATAAATGAAGTAAGAAAGTAAATAAATATTTATACTCACTTTTCTCCTCAATGGAGACCCAAATGGAGACTTAAAATGTTGTTTTACCCTCACAACTACCCTATGAGGTAGGATAGGTTGAGAGAGAGAGAGAGAGAGAGAGAGAGAGAGAGAGACTGACTAGCCCCAGGTAACCCAACAACCTTCCATGGCAGAATGGATATTTGAATCTGGGTCTCCCAATTCCTAATCCCAGAATATACCCACTATAACACACTGACTCTAAAGCGGATTTAACAGCAAAAGTGCATCATGTTCCTTTCAGGGTCTTTGGCCCATGGAGTCTCTAGGGCCATAAAACTCAGAAGATATAATGCACAAGGATATGTTACATTTATTCTATCATGTGTTTATGGCTTTTCAATCTAGAAAAAGATGTCCGAAGTAAAACATGACAGAGTTTTATAAAATTACAAATGATTTGGACAAAACTGATAGAGAGAAATTGTTCTTCCTCTCACAGCGGACAAAAGAAAAAAGCAGTTTGCAGTCCACCCACCCACCCCCGAATATACTCACAATTTTGCTTGAGGAAATCCAATGCATTCATTCTATAAATATGCAAATGAGCAAGGGACCCACAAGAACTTGCAGAGGCATCTCATTTTCCCTTCCCCCCACTATTTCTTCTTTTCCTTCCCTAAAAGTCCCCATAGCCCCTCACTCTTTCCTGCTTCCTTCCCTGCTTCTCGCCCAAGTAGCTAACCTATCTTTACTTCCCCTGTATTCTGCTTTGCCTCCTCATTCCCTGGCAGCCTCTCTTGGGGGACCCAAATCAGCTTATATCATCTCTCTTCCATTCTTCTCTCCTCCATTTTATCATCATAATAACTTCGTGAGGTAGGTTAGGCTGAGAGTGTGTGACTAGCCCAAAGTCACCCAGAATGCTTCCATATTCTAATCTGAAACTCTAACCACTACATCACACTGGCTTTTGTGGGCTGGCTGCTGTTGAACAGTAGCAAGCAGCCAGGCTTGGGTGAGTCCTGAAAGTCATGTGGTAGCAAGTAGCCATACCTGGTCCCTATTAGTTCTCCATCAAAGGCCAAAACAGCACTGAAAAGGGCCTTGCTTCCTCCCCCGGCCTTTCCTGACAGAAACCAAGGCTTGAATGCTGGCAGTACTATGGTTGCCTAGCAATGGCCATAAACTAAATACATCAGACCGGAAGGAAACTGCAATAGTGTGCTAAATATACATGCATACCAGAGGTGGCACTTAGAGCCCTCTCTGTGGGCACCCCAGCTGCCCAGGTGGCCCCCGATTGAGCAGTTTGAATGGAGGGTGGGGGCCACTCAAGGCAGATGTCGAGCCAGCAGGGGAAGAAAAGTCGGCTGCGCCCCGCAACTCTCCTTCTCCTCCAAGGTGGCTGACCATGACGAGCAGCAGCAGCCTGCAGGAGGGAGCGCCTGGCCGAGTGAGTGCATCTCTCTGCGCCCCGAGCCCCACCTGGCCGGTGCCTCGCCTCCTCCAAGCCTGCAAGCGAGTGTCCCTCTCCTCCTCCTCTGCCCCGTCCTCTGCCAGCGTCAGCGTCGTCGTCTTTGTCCCTGGGAGGGGGTTGGGCAGCCCGGCCTCTGCCGCCTTCCCACCACCGCTCCCCTTCCTCCCTCCCTCCAGCGCGCAGAACTTGAAGTCAGGGGGCGAGAGCGGCTCCTCAGGGTGGGTGGGTGAAGACACGGGTGTCGACATCGTTGTGGGAGTTGCAGAAGGGCTTTGGACTTGGAGGGGGGTCGGGGGGGCTTGCCATCACCTCCAGTCTGCTGCTTGTTCCTGGATGCTGGCACGACCAGGTGGGCACCTGTTCTGATTCTTTCTCCTGGCTTTTTTGTTTGCTGGGGGGGGGCTGGTGGCATCCTGTTGGGGGCTGCCGTCTGCCCTTAATTGGGATGTACTAAAAGGAAGGACAGGATTGCCCATTGGAAACAATGGAAAACACTTGAAGGCCCATTGGAAATAATGGGAGCCAGGAATGCCAATTGACTTGCATGGGCTCCATTGAAATACATTACAGTACAAGTAGAGTTGCAATAAAAATGCGGAATGGATTTTCCATTAGAGTCTCTGGACCCAAATAGACTACCCCCCAGATGCCTGGAGGCATAAGCTAGGGTGCTATCAACATGCAGATGACACCCAGCTATACCTGTTGTTGGGCGTACGACTCTACCCCAGAGGACCTGGAGCGGGCACTTCAGGATATGGCAGGCTGGCTTAGACTGAGCTGATTGAAATTGAATCCAACAAAGACGGAGGTCCTGTGCCTGAGTCGGAGTGGGTCGGGGGTAGGGATCCCACTCCCGACCTTCGATGGGGCACTGTTGGTGCCAGCGCCAAGAGTTAGGAGTTTGGGAGTGCTCCTGGATGCCTCCTTAACAATGGAGGCCCAGGTAGCAGCCACTGCCAAGGCAACCTTTTACCAACTACGGCTAATTAGGCAGTTGGTTCCCTTCCTCGAACCCAATGACCTGGCAACAGTGATTCATGCTATGGTCACCTCGAGATTAGACTACTGCAACGCTCTCTACATGGGGCTGTCCTTGTCTCAAATCCGGAAGCTGCAGCTAGTGCAAAATGTGGCAGCCAGGCTTTTGATGGGCCTCTCTATACGAGACTACATCCAGCCTGTGCTGAAGACATTGCACTGGCTGCCAGTAGCTTACCGGATTCGTTTGAAGGTGCTGGTTTTGTCCTTTAAAGCCCTATATGGCCGGGAGCCGGCATACAG